GAAGAAGAAGAAGAAGAAGAAGAAGAAGAAGAAGAACAAGAACAAGAACAAGAACAAGAACAAGAAGAACAAGAAGAAAAAGAAGAAGAGCAAGAAGAAGAGCAAAGAAGAAGAAGAAGAAGAAGAAGAAGAAGAAGAAGAAGAAGAAGAGGAAGAGCAAGAAGAAGAAGAGCAAGAAGAAGAAGAGCAAGAAGAAGAGCAAGAAGAAGAAGAAGAAGAAGAAGAAGAAGAAGAAGAGCAAGAAGAAGAAGAAGAAGAAGAAGAAGAAGAAGAAGAAGAAGAAGAAGAAGAAGAAGAAGAAGAAGAAGAAGAAATCGCTTCACGGAACCTCGAAAGACAAGGCATGTGTAGTTGGGAAAAGTACTGGGCCCAACACAATGCAGGTATATAATCATTTTCCCAAGTCTTGGTTCGCCCATCGAGGTTCTGCATTGTGTAGGGCCCATGGGTATATAATCATTTTCCCAAGTCTGGCTCAATGGGCGAACCAAGACTTGGGAAAATGGTTGACATGAGCTCCTGGCATGACTTTTGTCTCACCCAGGTTGAATATAGATTTCCTGGTTGGATCTCTCCCTAGCTGCTTCAGCATGAAGCCAACCAGTACGTCTAGCAAAGTAGACAACAGCATTAGTCATCCTGGTTGATGCTTTGGAGAGAACTCAAAGCATAGAACCACTCACCCTCTCACCCAGCCAATTGGCAACACACCTTGTTTGCCAGTGAACTTGCCAGTGAACTTGCCAGTGAACTTGGTTGGTGTGGAGCTAACCTGCCAGCAGTCAAGCCTCCGCCTTGTCGTCGCATTTTTCTGTTGCAGTACAATAATGCCGAGGGATCATGGGCAACAAAAATAATGCCTTGAGTGGAGGAAGGCCCAAGTGGAGTGGTAGTAGCTGGTGCAGCTAGAGAGGCAACGACTTGTGGCTGGAGCTGTACACTGGTTTTAACTTTTAAACCACCAGTTAAGTACGCCTGGGCCTGCAGGTGCCTTACTGCACGCCAAGCTTTTCTGAACCGCCAGCGCCGCACTTTTTTTACTTTTTTGGCTGGCGCCGCCAGCCGCTGTGGTCCGGTAGGCCGAGTCTCCGGAATTTTTGTAGGTGGCGAGTTTGTAATGACCCGCCAAAAAACACAGACTGAGAACACTGCTGATTTCTGAGTTCTGCCGGTGGAATGTATGCCTTGCGGAGATTCCGGCATTCTGCTGAGTTTTCTAAGTCTGTGTGTGTGCGTGCGTGCCTGCTGGTCTGCGTGCCTGTCTGAGTGCTTGTCAGGCTGAGTGTGTGTGTGACCCACAAGTGTACTTGTTTTCGTTTGGAGGCCCTGCAGGACCGGTACTTCCCTCCCTGTGGCCGTGACTTTGAGGGTTGCAGCGGAAAAAATGCTCAAGTAGCGGGGGTAAGCCCACAACACTTAGAGCAGTGGGAAAAACACTCGAGTAGCAGGTAGGCTGGTACCACTCAAGTAGTGGTAGACGTGTCCGGTACTCGAGGCCGAGCAGAAGAAGACAAAAAGTTGGCATTTTGAGAGGCCCAGTCGTGGTAGGCTAGAGGTAGGCCGGTACCAGTCCAAGTAGCACGAGTCTAGCAGGGCCTGTACGGACGATATCAGAGCCTGCAATGATGTTTGCCTCCAAAAGGGAGGAGGTACCGGTTGCTTGGACGCCGCGCGGCCTGGACGTCACCGCCCAAGAGGCAAGTAAGCCGCTATATCTTCTGGGGGAGCGAGTAGCTCTTCCTCATTTGCGGTGTGCAAGGTTGGGCGGCATACTGCATGAGCGAGCGCTGGACACAGAGCGCTGCCTGGGAGGAGGACGAGGAGCTGGGCACTCAGCCTGGCTATAGCGAGCAGCCCAGCCTGAGGAGGAGGAAGAAGGGGCCGAAGGAGGAGAGTGGCGAGGTACCTACCTGGCTATGGTGGATGCCATCTCCATCACCTTGTTAGGCGCTGCATCAGGAAGGCGCCAGTTGGGGTAGTGCTGCACCAAGGAAGCTTCGAGGCAGAGTCAGGCATGGCGGCCTGAAGAGCAGCGAACATAGCTGCTTTGAGTTGTCTTTTGCACAGGAGGGCAGAGCCCTTAGTAGTCCGCCATAACGTTGGCATGTGAGAGGAAGGTGAAGGGGGAAGCCGTGGCTATGGTGGACCTATTGTTGTGCTGGCAGTAAGAAAGAACTTCGAATGTTGATTCTGGTTCAACCACTCCTTGTTATTATTATTATTTGGGAGAAGTATAAGATCGGCGAAGACGAGGAGGAGGAGGAAGGTGGAGAGAGAAGAGGGATTTGTCATTGCTCTTGCTGGTGTGCATCTTCTTCTTCTGCTGCTGCTGCTTCTTGTTCTTCATCTTCGTCTTCGTCTTCTTCTTCTTCTCTCTCTCTTTTATCTCTTTGCAAGTGCTTTCATTTCCTTCGCAAACGGGTGGCATTGTTTTTCCTTGTGAAATTTGCACTTCGGAAATGACCAAGATTGTAACAAGTTTCTAGTAGATCTACGTTTTGTTGATGCAGGTCTCCAATCTTCGCTTGTAGACCGGCATTCTCTTCTCTTCCCAGATATGGAGTACCAGTTCTGACCGACACTCAAAACATAGTTACAAAAAAAAAAAAAAAAAAAAAAAAACATAGTTACCCAGACTCTGATCAGTACTGTTGATGTAATCCAGGGCAGGAATCACACCCAGTTTTCAGGTCGATCTCAACAGTCGTAAGCCTCTTTGGGTTCTGTTCTCTTTCCATGCCCTCACCTTTATAATAGTTTATATCCAGCAAACGCTTTTGAGACCGAATTCTTCTTCCTTCCACGCAACGGACTGTTGGCCTGGTTTGGGAGAATGTACCACCCAGCCCAAGATGCCAGCTGGTGATTTCAGGGGGAATTGTGCTCTCAGCTACCAGAATGGGCCGGGACCTCTAGCCTGGCCGGGAAAAAAAAAATCAAAAGGAGTTTAAAGAACTACTAAAATAGTTTTTAAATTTATTTTTTATTTTAAATTTGGTAAAGAGTTTCGATGTGACCCTGAGGCAAAAGTTGTTCAGTTTATTTTTCTGCATAACATTTTTTTTTTTCAGATTTGTTGGATTTTTTTTTTYYTTTTTTTTTTTTGGCTGGGACCTTCTTTGGTCCTTGCACGGCCGGGCCGCCCGGGAAAACAAGGTGACCTGGGCAACCCGGCTGGTATCCTACCGTGTTCACCCAAAAATAACGCCCGGGCAACTTCCCCTAAAAAGATGACATTTTCGTTTTTACTCACTTTCTTCAAATAGAACGCCCCTTCGAATAGAAGGGCCGGGCGTTATATTCGAATAGAAAGCCCGGGTTTTGTATTCGACTTGAACGCCCGGGTGTTATATTCAAATAGAAAGCCCGGGCGTTATATTCAAATAGAAAGCTCAGGCGTTGTATTCGAATGTTCCATGGGCAGAGTGCCTTGAAGAGGTAGTATACAGGGGTTTTAAAGGGCGGGAAAGGGGGTATACATGGGTTTCTGAAGAGGGTTGAATGGGGTTTTGACTTCCAAGGGGCATATTTTGGCTTGATTTTTTGTTTTTATTTTTTATTTCCGAGTTTATAAGGTTTCCTGAAGTGACACTCAGCCAATAGTTGGTCGCATTGCAATCCTGGACAACATTTTTTTTCTCCAGAATTTTGGGGCCTCACCGAAGTTACCGCAAATTTACTAAATATAAAGCCCGGACTTTACTAAATATAAAGCCCGGACGTTATGAACGAATATAACGCCCCGCGGGCATTACATTCGTAGTATTTCGTACACAACGGCCGGGCATTATATTCGGGTGAAGACGGTAGGCACTCATATGCCAGCTGCTGATTTTAGGCGAATTGTTCTCTTAGATGCCAGCTGCTGATTTTAGGGGAACTGTGCTCTCAGTGTTAACCTCTCTTTCTTCTCTCTCTCTCTCTCTCTCTCTCTCTCTCTCTCTCTCTCTCTCTCTCTCTCTCTCTCTCTCTCTCTCTCTCTCTCTNCTCTCTCTCTCTCTCTCTCTCTCTCTCTCTCTCTCTCTCTCTCTCTCTCTCTCTCTCTCTCTCTCTCTCTCTCTCTCTCTCATATATCACGGTCAGTGTTCTGTTTCCCGGAGTTCACATCGCGCATGCTCAGCTATAGGTTCATCTATAGAATAGTGCAATTACATGCAAGAAGAAGAAAGAAGATAGAATACTCCTAGCCTTAGCAGCAATTAGTTCAGACACGGCGGAACTTCCCGCGAACATAAGGCATATGCATTGTATTTGAGTTTTCGAAAGAAACGATGATTCCAATAGAACGCATATGAGTTGTATTCGAATATACCAGCTGTTCGAGTTTTTGAAAAAAAAACGATGATTCCAATAGAAAGCATGTGCGTTGTATTCGAATATACCAGCTGTTCGAGTAGAATGCATCTGCATTGTATCCGAAATAGAAAGGCAGCCTATGTGTTGTATTCGTTTACAACACATATGCGTTATGTTCGGGGGAAGATGGTAGTGATGCGAGGTCAAACAAAACACTCAGAACCGAATCCTACATGCCGCCTTGACAACGAACTGTTCGAATAGAGTGCATATGTGTTGCATTCGAATAGAAAGCAACCTATGTGTTGTATTCGTTTACACCACATGTGTTATGTTCGGGGGAAGATGGTAGTGATGTGAGGTCGAACAAAACACTCAAAACCGAATCCTACATGCCATCTTGCCAACACAAGAATGAATCAGGTCATTCACGGCGGTTAGACGAGGCCAGAAACATAAGAGAGAGAGAGAGACCGGTGGAGTAGGTGAGTTCAAGACTGGAGATGAAGCATGGAACAACATGCATCACATTCAGAAGCAGACCCAGACACCATCCATATGCTACCGCAAATGCTACCGCAAATGCTACCGCAAATGCTACCTATGTACGCTTTCGACGACAACCTGCCCCCCCTCTCGACCGTGGGCGAGTCCTTGATAGTCTCACCATCCAGATCAATCCCTCCTTTCCCATACAACGATGGCCACCTGTGTGCAGTGTGCACTAAATTATGTACCCCCTACCCTAGTGGCTGCAGTTGATGGTAGAGTTTCGTGAGATGTCCGGCTGATGAGTGGCTTTGTCATCCCTTCGGACCACGTGCAACTCCGAAAAGGGTTCAGTCATCCCCCAAAGTAGAGCCCCCTGCTCTATTCTACACCAATCGCATCCCCATCCCTCGATGACAATTGGACTTCAAAAGATCACACTGCGGGTGCGAACGCAATGGACAACTTGGCGAGCTAGGGTAGAAAAAGATTCACCATAGGTAATTGAAGGGGTAAATAGAAAGTTTTGTAACTGAACAAAGCGAGCAGAAGTCGAGCATAAATCGTCCACACAGCATGCAAGCAAAATGCTTCTAATCACACAACCATCCATCCAATGCAGCCATTGCTCATCATATATAAAGGGTGGTATCATACACCTCCCTCGACTCAGTTCTCTCTTTTTCTCCTATCTCCCCCTAATAGGTTGCCCCAAGCCTCTCCACAATATTAAAACCATCCGGGAGGGACCCCTAACATGTCGAAAACCCATCCCAGACTACCAATAGGTATGTGTAAAGGGGGTTGACGATTGTCGTGACGTACGCTTGCAAATATGGCTTCCTCCTTATTCACCATAAAAAAAGAAGATCACCACCACCTCCCTCCCCGGAGATCCTCCTCGTGTGAAAGCTTCCTTTTGCCGATCTCCTCTCCAATTCAGCCCGATTCTCTTCTTCCTTCATCTCGCCACCCTAACGTCTCTCTCCCACCCTACTCTGCATCTCCCACTTATGTCCCGACTCGGATCTAGGGGTGGGTCTGGGTTGGGCCAGGGTTGGGTCAGGGTTGGGTCAGGGTTGGGTCAACTTCAAACCTACACATCAACACTAAACAACTCCAGCCTGCCCCTAATCTGAAGTTAATTTGGCCTAACCATCTTGGATTAGGGTTAGGGCAGCTTAATAATCTATCGCCAGCAGGTTAAGTCAAAACTCCAAATGCCACTACCGAATTGCTACGATCATACTGTCCACTTCAAAGTGCAAGACCCAATTGTGATGACAAAAGAAGTAGAAGAGGAAGAAAATGAAGAACAGAAGATTGAACCCACCCATGTTCTCTCCCTCCTCTCACCATTATCCTCTCCTTCACTACTTGCCTCCATTTCTCGATTCATATACGTCATCGTTGCACGGGGGTCATCTATCATTCCAATTTTGATGGATGTCCCACCAAAGGACCGCCTCCTCCCCTTACCAACAAAATAAAATACAATAGTAAATGACTGAATTGAATGAACTAGAAAAATCGATGTCTTAGTGATCCACCTTACTGCCAGATCACAGAAGCACTTTGATCAGAAAAGTTTTTGCTCGACTTTTATTATATACTTTCAACGGCCTAATTACTGTATGAGTTTTTGCTCAACTAGTTGAACTAGATAATAAGACTGCAAAAAAGCGAAATAAAAGTAATGAAGCAGGCGCGAAGCGTACACGACTCTCTTTTTGACAAACAAAGCCTATTGAAGCTGAAGCCAGATCCAATTTCAATTGATTTTTCGCATTAAAAAAAAAAAAAGAATATTGCGTAACAAAATAATATTTTCTGTGCTTTATAAACTGCTCGATTGATGTTTTCAAGAAAAGCTCTCCCTTAGCATTGTTTCACTCTGCTCTCCCGCCTACCGTCTTCACCCGAATAGAGCACCTGGTGATTATCGCTACACCCGGACTGATAAGTGCCCCAAATACAGCTATAATGACGGGGCGTTATATTCAGGTGAAGACGGCAGTGTGGCAGGCAGCAGTAGATGTAGATTCGGACCTGGAGGGAGGGTAAGTTACGGACCGAAATGATGTAGATTCAGGCCTGGGGGGCATCATTATAGCTGTATTTGGGGTACTTTTCAGTCCAGGAGCAGCAATAATGACCGGGCGTTCTATTCGGGTGAAGACGGTAGTGTGGCAGGCA